AATTAGAATCATTGAAATTATGTTCAATTGGTTTATTTCACAAAGTAAGGATCATAGACAAACATAGAGTGCATACTTGGTGTATGGCAAAGCTATTGTTTAAGAAAAACATAGTGTACATGCTTGGAGCATGAGACAACTAGTGTTTTTAATTCAAGTATAAAGTTGATAAAACCGAAACAATGAATAATGAGTAATCAGTATGGTGATAAATAAAAGTGTTTATTATATTCATAGGGTTTGATACCATATTTGATTCATTTATTCTTGTGTTTCACTTTGCATGTTTTGACTTCCAGAATAACTAAGTCAGTTCTTCCTGAATGATTAAGTTATTCAACCATCCACAGTCGGTCATATGTTGGAAGTAGATATGAATCAAGACTGTCATGGGTTGGTTTGTAGAGGTCCAAGTTGGTGGACAAAGTGGTGCTACAACACTCATGAGTGCTCATAAGTTCTGAGTATTGGATTAACCCGCGCTCATTTGAATCACTTCATGGATTTTATCACGAGTGATCATGAGACGATAATATCTTATATTCTTCAAACCTAGAGATATGAGTTGTTACTATGAGTTGGTTATACATTGATTGCACGAAAACGCATTTGGTAACTCGATGTTATAAAACGTGCCTTTGTGTATGATTCAACAAGTAGTAGAACAAGTCATATGAGTCGAAGTTTATCCATTCCTTTTACCTTCGGGATAAAAGCGATATGTGTGGGCCCCTCGATGATTTAGCGATGACACATGTGAGTGCTTGGCCAAGCCAGGACTGATTTGATTTGTTCAATCAGTCAGTCATCATAAATCGAAAATCGGGAAACAACAAATGGACAGAGAGAATGATTATAATCCATGTCTCAGTCCATATGATATCTAGAATGGAGGAATATATGATCCCTTATCTAATGGACAAGTCATTGACAAGGTCAGAGTTCGACAGCGGCTTTAAGAGCTACGATTGCCAGTTAGGTTTTGAAGTCATACGCAATAACAGTTTTAGACTTATCCAAGTGGGGTTTGGATAGTGAGTGGATTAACGTTAGTCTAGTCTACTATGTGGGAGACTGTATTAATTCTAAGTCCAGAACTATTTTGGTATGTACTTGACCCGGCCCGGCATGGTCCATTTGGGTTGCACTTCACCGCATAATTTATGGATAGTCTTTTGAGAATAGTATATTTATGATTATATTAATATATTATAAGTTCTAATATATTATATGGAATCATATTATTTAATTAGTATTGATCAAGAATTAATTTAGAATTAATTAAGTGATCAAAAAGAACTAATTAAATATGGACTCTTATATATATGGAATGGGCAAAGTTCATTTAGGCTGGGCTAAGCTTTCATGGATGGTCCATGGAGCTTTTAACCCATGGATCCTATGTAAATGAAAGGTCATGGGTATTAGGGTTTACATGGATGTAACCCTAATCCTCCATAATATATAAAGGGGTCCTTGGCTCACAAAATTGGCACAAGTGTGTGAAAATAAGAGTGGGCCGATTTTAGTGTGCATACATATTCTCTCAAGTTCTTCCAAGGTGTTTTGGTGATTTGTGATTCCATTTGAGGCTTCCACACTATTGGGGCAAGCTCTTAAAGCTTGAAGACATCAAGCTACATCAAAAGGTATGTCATCTAACTATAACTTTGTAGTATAGGTGCTTCATAATATGCTAGTTAGGATGAAACCTTGGAATATTTAATATTTGAATGTATAATAGAGAAAACATAGATCCAAGGTTTATAGGGTTGCATGTACACCATAGGAGTGTTAGAATGCTCAAAAACCCAACAACTTCTTGTCCCAAAAATGGCGATTCTTGTCCCCAAAAATGGTGATTCTTGATCACTTCAGAAATGGGCACTTTATCTTGTAGATTTAGACATTTCTTCCTCTAAGGCACTTCTTGTCCCAAAAATGGTGATTCTTGAGCATGGAATGTTCTTGACCCAATAAGTCTTCCTTTCAGACCTTATGAGGGGTCTTGAGTCATAAAAATGTGGTCTTGAGAGTTAGTTTCACTCCATGCATGCTATAAAGGATCTTAATGCATTAAGATGTTGAGGGTTTGTGTTTTAAGCACTTATTGGCCATGCAAAGTCATAAAGTTGGAAACTTTATGACTCATAATGGTATTTTAGCCTTGGATCTAACTTTAGATGTGAAGGTTTGGAGTATTAAGTTCGTAATGGAAAAAGGGCTGAATGGGGCGCGTACGTTGGGCATACCAAGTGGTACGTTGCGCGTACGCGGTCAGCGCCCCGTAAGATGGTCAAACACTGAGTACGCCCCGCATATAGAAAAGTACACCCAACGTACTCGAGATGAGTCGACTCGGTCGAGTTGGCTCGGTTGGGTTGACTCGACTAGGTGTTGACTTTGACTTTGACCAAGTTTGACTTAAGGGTATTTTGGATTGTGCTTGAGAATTGGTCATTTGGTTGGATAGGTAACAGTTAGAGCTGAGATTTTGAGTCGGGACCTCATCAACTTTTGTTCAGATTGAGAGGTGAGTTTTCCTCACTGTGCTTGTGGGTCGAAGGCACCAAGGCCGACCCATTAGATTGGATATCCTGTTATAATGATAGTATGTTATTAAGGTGTAAAGATATGTTAGATTGGTATCCTGGTATATAGGATGTTAGCATACGGTAGTGATTTGTAGATCTGCTTGTTGTCTGTTGATTGGTTATATGTTTATCTGTTATGTATATGTCGACATGTTAAGGTTGGTTGGGTTGAGGCGGTCCTGCTTTGTGCTGAAGGCCAAGATACCCGAGGCGGTCCGGATATGCTGTAGGCCCTGCGAGGAGGTTTAGTCAGGCCGAAGGCTCGACGAGTAGTCCGGATAGGCTGAAGGCCCTACGAGGCGGTCCAGTCATGCCGAGGACTCGGGAGCGGTCCAGATAGGTTGTAGGCCCTACGAGGCGGTCCAGTCGGGTTAAAGGCTCATTTATGCATGCTTTTGTTTGTGTGTTTTATGTGGTGGTACTTTGAGGGAACTCACTAAGATTTGGCTTACGGTTTTAGTTTATTGTTTCAGGTACTTCTGATGATCGCGAAAAGACGAAGGCGTGACCGTACACATCCTCCCGCTTTATGACCTTATGATTTTGGGATACTCTGATATTGTTAAACATTTTGGAAACAATGATTTTGTAAACACTTTATGATTATGGGTTGTTTTGAAAAGTATAAAATTGTTGTGATTTTTGAGATGTTACAATGTATTACCCTATTTTTCAAAAAAATGATGAAATCCCAAACTTTTCTCTAAGAGCACCATCTTCCACCACCTTCACATGTGTGGAAGAAGAACAATTAATATGGAGACAAAGAACGTATTTAATCAAAATCATCTTAGATTTTCTAGAATTTTGCAAAATATTTGAAAAATAACGTATTTATGAAAATTGAAGCACAAAATGAACTTAACTATAACAAATTGATTTTGTTTTTCAAATCTCGAGCTATTCAAAATAATGATGGGTAGAAAAACGAGGAAGATTTCCAAGTGCCGATCGGAGCCGTTGTCGTTGTTTTTAGAAACAAAAGCCAATTGGGGAATTTGATAAGATGAGCATACAAAGAGAATCAAACTCATTGACATTTAAGGGGATAGGTGACAAAGATCAGATTGAAAAACTTCAATAAGTCGGCGACAGAACGTGAGGCGATCGGTGACGGAGATCAATAGATCAAAGAACTTCAATTTTGAGATGCTTTCACCGATCTACATTTTCATTTTCAATAACTCATATTCAAAACAATGCCTATATGGACGTTACTCAACACCACTGTTTTGAAAACCGGACAGGACCGGCCGGTTGAACCGTTTTAACCGGCTGTGATACCGGTTTTTTAAGGCCTTAAAACCGCTTTTAAACCAGACCGGAAAAAACCAGAGGTTCAACCAAAAACCGGATAAAACCGGTGTGGTCTAACCGGAAAAAACCGGTGGTTTTAGAAAAATAGATATAAAATTTGTACCGAGTGAAAACCAAGGGGAGGGTCCCATTTTTATTTGAGACGTCCACTCTTTGTTTTTATGCATCCTTAGTACTCGGCTCCTTTATATAGAACTCTAAAAGCCCTCATCTCAGTTTTTTGGCGATGTGGGACGTGGGAGCAAACTAAATAAACATAAAACAATTACAATGGAGTCTCCTTATTCCTCTCTACACTCGATACTACGATAGTTTTTTTTTCTATTATCTTTATAACAAACATTTAAGAAAGAATCATATAAATTATTAGAACACAAAACTTAAAAATGTGTTGTTTTATTTTAAATCGTAATATATATATATATATATATATAATATATATATATATATATATATATATATGATGTCATCCGGTTCATCCGGTTTTTGGGACCGGTTCGACCGGTCAAACCAATAGAACCATGGTGGGACGGCCGGTTCGAAGTCCGGTCCGGTTTTCAAAACATTGCTCAACACCCAAAGCATGCATGAACATAATAATAGATCACATCATCTAAACAATGCTTGAGATTTACCTTTTAAAATTTTCATTTCTTTTATTAAAATGCAATTCATTGTTTAATGGTTTAAAATGTAAATAAAAAAAAGTTCAAAGACCATTTAAAACCGAAAACATGAGTTTATGAAGTTTTCATTACAATAACCCTTAAAAATAAGAAATTCAACCACAACTTGAACAAAGTTTTAAAGACTAAACAAACATAATTTAAATAGTTACTAAAGTGTAAATAAAAAAATGTACATTAAAAGGTCAAACCTAATCAAAATTTTGTTTTTCAATATTAAAAGGTCAAACCTAATCAACATTTTGTTTTTCAATTTTGAATAAAATTTTGTTTTTCAGTTTTGAATATGTTTATATGCATGTTATTTGTTGAGCAAAAGTCAACAAATTATGCACACACTCCATTGGTATCTTTGACCTTAAGTCAACAGATTGTTCTACACAAATAGTCGTCCTATTCGACACCCACACTATCTTGATTTATCCCCCATCTATCACTTCCCCACCATACATATAACCAACCCTAAAAACACTCCATCACAGAGGTAGAGACTCGAGAGGAGATCGCTCACCAATGGCTTGTTCATCTGCTTCAGCTGCTCTTCTTTCTTCTACAAACCCTAGAAACTCCTCTTACATTTCCCCCAAATCATCATCCAATCTTTCTCAAACCCTAAGTTTTTCCAACTCTTCCTCCATCAACTTCCGATCCAAGTCCCTCCGCTCCAACCTCCTCGCTCGCGCTTCTACCACCCGTCGCAGTGGATTCGTTGTCAAAGCGGTAAGTTATTTGTTTCCCCATCGCTTTGTTTTTGCTTCGTTGACTGAAATCTGTTCCTTAGAAGTCGTTACTTTAGAGAAGAGTAATTGAATTCAGCTTCTGTTAGATATTCGATCTTACACATCGCTGATTTGAGTCTGAAAATGTCATATCTCAGTGAGATTGATTTGTGAAATCTATCTCTCATCTCGACTTTATTTATGTATGTAGGGACTACCACTGGTTGGAAATGTCGCACCAGACTTCGAAGCAGAAGCTGTTTTTGATCAAGAGTTCATCAAGGTAATCGAATCGATTCGTCATGACCTTCATATTTTTTGATAATAGCACCTTGAAATAATCATGAACTTCTTTAACTCTATGAAATTTGCGATTACAGGTTAAGCTCTCTGACTACATTGGGAAGAAATACGTGATTCTCTTTTTCTACCCTCTCGACTTCACTTTTGTTTGCCCAACTGGTGATTCCATCATTTCTTCACTTAATCTGTTTACTTTTTTTGGTAAACAAATTCTCATTTCACCTCATTATGTTTCTGATACATGCAGAAATCACTGCTTTCAGTGATCGACATGCTGAATTTGACAAGATAAACACTGAAATTTTGGGTGTTTCTGTCGACAGTGTGGTATACAATATACACATTCACGAATTATTTCATGATGCTTTTGTTGTTAATTCATATATCTTAATGCTAAAATGATGACAATATTGTGTTATTTTTCGATTTTTCCTAGTTCTCCCATCTTGCATGGGTTCAAACAGATAGAAAATCCGGAGGCCTTGGTGATTTGAACTATCCATTGGTTTCTGATGTCACCAAATCAATTTCAAAAGCTTTCAATGTTCTGATAGAAGATCAGGTGCACTAATTTCTTTAACCTAAATTGTAAACACTTTACAAAACTTATATCAATTCTTGATCTTTACATTTCAGGGAATCGCATTGAGAGGGCTTTTCATAATTGATAAAGAAGGTGTTATTCAGCATTCCACAATCAACAATCTTGCAATTGGGAGAAGTGTAGATGAAACATTGAGAACACTTCAGGTACCATTTGGGTTTTCAAGATTCTTCTCTTTAGTCTTTATAGACATTTTCTTTAGATGTTGGTGGTGTTTGAGAATTGAGATGCATGTGTGTTTGTACTGTAGGCATTGCAATTTGTACAAGAGAACCCAGATGAAGTATGCCCAGCTGGATGGAAGCCAGGGGAGAAGTCAATGAAGCCAGATCCTAAACTCAGCAAGGAATACTTTGCAGCAGTATGATTGGGTACCCTTGTGAAATTGGATTATGAGAGTATTTTTTTTTTCGGGGTAATAAAACTTGTGGAACTATTATATGTTAATGTTAAAAAGTTTTATTATAATTAATGGGATGCATATCATGCATAAATTTGTGCATCTTATCAATAATCTTGTACATCACAAGATTATTGAAGATTCAAGAATTATGTAGTAAGTTATGCAACCATAATTTGGATTGAATGGAATCTTGAAACAAAATTGCGTATTCACGTGTTCTTAATGGTGTCAAATGTAATATTCAAGATTCAACTGGTTTTGTTTTATAAATAAGTAGTACATAAGGAAATTACCACTTTGCCCTTTAGTGTCTTGTTGACTCGTTTCCAGCTATATTTGTTGTAATGTAAATCTGATGTCCCGTGTTGACCGAACAGTCAGCAACGAAAATAGAAGAAGAACAAAAAGGAAGAAAGACCTAACACTGGTTTAGTAAAAAATTGCTGCATAAAATTTAAAAGGACGAAAAGGGATAGATGATAAAAGTATTGTGGTCATTCTCAAAACTACATAAAGTCTGTGGGCAAAGGGAAAAGGGGCAAACGGAAGGTCAAAATGGTCAAAGGGACTAAATGTGACAAATATTAAAAGGTTTGTGGCTAATGTCTAATGCACAATAACTTCATGTTCCATAAAATTCAAAAGGACGAAAAGGGATAGATGATAAAAGTGTTGTGGCCATTGTTAAAACTACATAAAGTGTATGGGCAAAGGGAAAAGGCAAAAGAAAGGTCAAAGTGATCAAACGAACCGGATGAGACAAATCTTGTGGTTAATGTCTAATGCACAATAACTTCACTCTTCCTCATAACCATATAAATATAAACTAATAGGACACATAGGGCGTTTGGGAGCAAGTTTCTTTAGCTTATTTAAAAAATAAAATAAAAACTTGAATTTAATGAAGAAAAAGACCGTTTGCCTGTTAGACATCTCTGAATTGGTCTATAACATTATTCAACATGTTTGCCACGGCCTCTAAATGTAACATCCTAATAATTAATGTAAAATTTTCATTTTTAAAATCATTTCAAATCCATAAGTTTTACAAAATAAGTTTCTAAAAGTCACAATCATAAATCAGAGTATCCTAAAATCATAAAACACAAAAATTCGGGATGATGTGCACGATCAAGCCTTCAACTTGCCTATGTCTTCTGAAGTACCTGAAACCATATAATCAAACTGTAAACCAAAGCTTAATGAGTTCCCCCAAAGTACCGCACACAACCAAACAGATAACATGCATATATGAGCCTTCAGTCTGACTGGACCGCCTCGCATGACCTACAACCTATCTGGACCGCTCTCCAGGCCTTCGACCTGATTGGACCGCCTCGCAGGGCCTACAACCCATCAAGACCACCCTGCGTATCTTAGCCTTCAGCACAAAGCAGGACCGCCTCAACCCAACCACAATATGACGACATATGCAACAGATAAACATAAACACATATCCAACAAGTACATGTAATAATATAGATCTACTAATCTATCATATAAATATCATAACATCATCCTATATACCATAATACATAAACTAATGGGCCGACATTGGTGCCTTCGACCCACAGGTAGAGCGAGGAAAACCCACCTCACAGTCTGAAAGATAGCTGAACGGATCACTGCTCCAAATATTGTCTCTACAGGTCACCTATACGATAAACAGGGACCCAATCTCAATCTATTATTCAAATTACCCAAATTGAACTAAAGTCAAACTTGGTCAAAGTCAATGGTCAATGGTCAAAAGTCAAAAGTCAAATTCCCACATCAGGTTGAGTACGCCTTGCGTACTCCATCTCTACGCATGACGTAGAGAGTTCCTTCGTAGATTACGAGACTCCAACTATGTAAGCGATGTGTACTCCTTTGGTACGCCCTGCGTACCTAAGCCAAGTCCAACCTCTTCATTAAGCACTTATTCCCTTAAGACCTTACGACCATAACTCAGATCTAATTCCAAATATCATCCTAAATCATAAAGTTTCCAACTTTAGGACTTTGCATGGCTAAAAGGTGCCCAAAACCAAAACCATAACTTATTACACAACCCCAAGCTTCATTTCTCTTTGCATGGGTGAAAGGAAAGAATCAATATTGCATTTTTATGTTGCTAAGCACACAAGAACGTCTGAAAATGCTACTCATTGTGTAACGTCCCAAAATTCAAACCAAAAATTTTCGTTTTCATATTAATTAAAACATCAACCAAACATGTTTAATAAAAACCCAACAGAAATCATAATATATTCATAATCATCCAAAACATATCAGAGTCAAATAAGTGCAAAATCACAGTGTGTGCGATGCGATCACACCGAGCTCTTCCCCTTTGATCCGGAAGTACCTGAAACATAAATTGAACACAATAAGCATGAAACTTAGTGAGTTCCCCAAAATACCGCATACCATACATATACGCCAGCTCAAGGCTGTGCCGGGTCTATTTCAACTCATGCGTTGACCCAAGCCGTACCGGGTCTATTTCACTCCCAAGTCTATTTCAACTCATATGTCAGCACAAGGCTGTACCGGGTCTATTTCACTCTCGAGTCTATTTCACCCCACATACATATAACAAACAGGGACACATGCATATAACACATACAACATGAGTCACAAACACTACAAGCACATAACATATCCTAGTGTCCTACAGTATAGTGAGCAAACTCACCTCAGTCTGCTGTCAGTCAATAGATGCTTGGGCTGCTGAACCGGAGAATCCCCACACTAACCAACCAAATAAAACCTCAATTAATAACTGGGTCATAATCCATAACCGAGAATCTAGTTCATTGGTCCAACACCCAGGGTAAAAGACCATTTTACCCTTTCCTCACTTGGCTCAATATTCGAGGCCCAATTGACACTAAAACCCCAATAATGGCCTAATTTCCTAAAGGTTACCTAAAGCCCAATATGGGCCCAAATCCAAGAAGGCTGAAAGCCTAACAATGGTCCAAATTCAGAAAGGCTAGTGGCCCAATAAGGCCCACAACCCAATATGGGCCCAAATCTGAGAAGGCCTAAAGCCTAACAATGGTCCAAAGTCAAAAAGGCTAGTGGACCAACAAGGCCCAAAACCCTAGTAGGCAAAATATGACCCAAACCGCAAAGCCCAAGAACAGGCCTGGTACGCTGCGCGTACCAGACGTACGCCCGGCGTACTAGGCAGCACGCCTGATCGGGGACTCGAAATTGTACGCTTGCGTATGCGCCCATTAAGCACTTAATGCTTGCAACTAAACGTCCAAAATTCAGATCCAAGCCTTGTGGGATGTCTTAATTCATAAAGTCACTAACTTGGAGCCTTTGCATGGCGTAAAAGAACTCAAACCCGAGATTTAGCGTTCTACTTTCACTAAATGGACACAAACACATGCATGGTTGATCCACAACCATCAAGATGCTAACTTTATGAACTAGGGACCTCAGAAACATCAAGAGAAGCAACTCCGAACTTCTGGAGTGGAAAAATTCCCACTAGATCTCATTCATGGGGACCAAAAGTGACCAAAACTTCATAATACTAGATCTAAGCATACAATGAGCAAGTTCCAAGCTTTATACCTTAATGAATCTAGAAATGATGAGTAAAATATGGATTTGCAAACTCTCGTTTGATCAAAGCTCCTTCTTCAACACTCTTCTTCCTCAAAGCTCACCAACACACACTAAAACATACACAAAGAGGGTCACATCTTCTCTAGAGGGGCTAGGGTTTCGAAATGAGGCTCAAAGGGTAGTGGAGGCTGAGAAGTGAGGGGATAATGGGTCATAATGTTGTTTAAATAGGGTCCAAAACCTAAAATAAGGGTTTGTCCCATGGGTGCGTACGCCCAACATATAAGGAGTACACCCACCGTACCCCCAATTTTCTGAAAATGGAAAAAATGCCCCCCCCCCCCCCCCCGAAGGACCAAATTTGAAAACCAGTTACACACCAAGGGTCAAAACTAAAAATTACCTTGAATCGGGTGTTACACATGAGGGTTGGAGTAGCTCATACTCAACTAGACCAAGAATATGGGACAAAAGGACATAAAACTAAGGACTAACAAGATCTAACAAATCATTCACCAAGTCCAAAACTTTATACCTCTTGGAGAATGCTTGAGAGGTGCAAATCCCATATCTACAATGCTTGAAGCTTTCCAAGAAACACTACCAACATCTTATTCCTTCAAAAGCACCCAAAACACACTTTAGCTCACAAGGCACAAATATGGGGTTAGGGTTTCAAGGGAGTCATTTGGAGAGATGGAGGCTAAGAATGGAAATGGCTTATGGAGGTTAATGTGTTTAAATAGGGCTTAAAACCCCCAAATTTAGGGTTTGCAATTTAGTTGAGTACACGCTACGTACTCCTTATGTACGCCCTGCGTACTCGAAGACACCCACATCATTATTTAATGACTTATGCCCAGCGTACGCCCGATGTAAGGACCAATTTTGCAATAATTTAATACTTGAGTCAAGAACGGAAATACCTAATTTGCCTGGTGTTACACTAAATGACCTCTGCACAAATCAAAAGCCTTGAAACTGTCTTTTCCTAATTAAACGATCTTACATTTTTTAACCATTAACAAGTTGGCCTTTAAATAACTTCTGCACAAATCAAAAGCTTAGAAACTGCATATGTCCGGTTAAGCAATCTTAAATTCTTTTAACCATGAAGATGTTTGAACCATTCTACATGATTTACCAAATAATCCCAAAGTTTGTTTGTGAGTAGGAACCGAAAACTTTTATTTTAAAACAAAAAACTTTTTATCAATATTAAACTATATCAAATAGTGTTTAAAAGCTTTTAGTTTTTATTTAATTTTTACAATTTTAAAATTTTACATATACTTTTTCAAAATACTCAACACAAATGATAAATGATTCATCTATTTTTACCAAACATACTCATAATATGATTAGTCTAATGTAACGTGTAAAAGCATAAACACTTATTTTATAGAACCCTTTTAAGCGTATTTCGTAAAGATAGCTTTTATTTATGATTTTTTTTTGCTAAAATAGTTATTAGCTTTTAAATTTATAAACTTAATTAAAAAAATTATTTTGGATTCCACGATATATGTTTAAAATAAAAGCTAAAAAGTTCAATCGGCATTTTTTTTTAGAGTAAATTACATGGAAGGTGCTTGTGGTTCGGGATAATTTGCGTGCCTAGTCCTAACTTGATTTTTTTTTAATTCGGAACGTCCATACTATATGTTTTTGTTGCGTCAATGGTCTCTACTATACATAAAAAGACAATTTTACCCTTAAAATTTTATTTTCAGATTTGTTATTAGTATTTTTATTTAGAAAAACTATTTATTAAAAAATCCATGTGAGTCCCACCACTTAGACCATCTCCAACCCATCTCTATTTTTCCCTCCATAAATGGAGTAAAAAATGAAGTAAAAAGTGTTTCATCTCCAACCATACTCCATTATCTACCCCATTTTTTACCCCAAAAAGTATATTCCTAGAATATTCCATTTTTATAACTTATATATATTGTCAAATACACCCCTCTACTAATTAAACTCTATATTTATGATTAATTAATATAAATTAGTATATAACATGATATTATAAATATTAAATATTGCATTTAAATTATAATTAGTAGATAAAATAAACTAAAAATGTATAAAATAAAAATGAGAGGGACTAAAATTGGCAACCAAACTTCACCTCCATTTTTGGAGATATGAATAGTATTCCCCCATATATGGGGGAATACTATTCATATCTCCAAAAATGGAGGTGAAAATGGGGTAGGGTTGGAGAAGAATGGGGGAAGAAATGAGGGAAAAAATGGAGTTTGGGGGTGGGTTGGAGATGCCCTTAAAACCCACTCTCTTACTTCCCTCTTCTCTTGCACTTTCTCCATCTTGATCGCCGACACCTAAACTTTCCTTCCTTGAAACTCCCATCGGGCCGGCGTTCACCATCCTCTCTGCTGCCACTGTCTTCCGCCGCCCTCTTTACCGCCACTGGCGTCCAAAAGTCACCCCTCGCCCTAGCGACACCGATTTTCAGAATCAAGCACCATTGTTTCTTTCCCCTTATCTCTTTTCTACATCGTTCGATTCTATTTACCCCCATCACCGCCTCTTTTGGACCACAGTCAAACCAAATCAACCACTTATGTGATTCAAAAACCCTCATACTTCCTTCGATATCGGTGTTTCCCTCAAACCACCTCTGATCCCAAACCACTTCTTATACTTGATTCGCCTCAGATTTTGTTTAGATTTACAGGTATTTCACTATTTCAATCCTTGTAATGGGTTTGTTTACAAGCTGATTATTCTATCTAGGTTGTTTACATGTAATTTTTTTTCTCAGATAAAATGAGTCTTCTCTCATGGAGCAGTTATCGTTGGGGAAGCTGATTAGATATGATCAAGATCCTTCACCGGAGAAGGTTAAGAGCAAAGAAAAATAGTGATGGGAAGGATGGGTCTTTTTCATATGGAAAAGATTACGATGGGTGATTGGAAAATAGGGAAGAGATATCTGATCTTAATCTTCTGAATTTTATTTTTTGGTTTGTACCTAAATCCTCATTCACGCTTTCAGTGAAGAGGTCAAGAAGGCACCTCTTTTTTCTCCTAGGACTTAGCAAGAAAGGGGTTGTGTATAAATAATGGAGGTACATGTTGATGGGTTTTAAGCATAAGAACAATCCTATGTGCTCATACAAACCCTAATGCTTGGATCTAGGTTTCTCTATTGTACATGCAATGAATCCAAGACTTACAAACCCTAGATCTATCAAATAAGAACTGAAATAAGGGTTTAGTAATTACCTTTGATTGTTATATAGCAATAACAATCAATCCTTGCTTTGATTGGCTTCAGAAAGCTTAGTGCCTCAAGTGTTGCACCTCTAATGGAGTCACAAACACCACTAAGCAACTTGGATGAAGAAGGAGGAGAGAGGAGCCACCAAAAAACGGCCGTAAACCCTAAAGGAAGTGTTCACCATGTTTTTGGGGCTTAAGGGTCCTTTATATACATGTAGGCTATTAGGGTTTGCAACTAGGAAACCCTAATCTGACTGCTTAGGCCCTAAGCAGCCCATGGACTCCTTTAACATATCCCTTGGACGATTTCTAATGGGCTTCCCATAGAATTCGTCCAACCTATATATTATTAGGTGATCCATAGCCCAATCGTAATTATCTTATAATTACAAATCTAGTCCCCTAAATTCAATTAATCTCTTTTAGTCACAAAATTAACTCTCAATTAATTCTTGACTAATATTAATTAAACAATATGATTTCTCCTTTAATATATTATTCTTATAATATATTAATAAATCATAATTAAACCTTTCTCTCCTTAATTCATCCTACATATTGCTATGGTGAAGGCAACTCAAAAGGACCATGCTCATAATCGGGTCAAGTACATACCAAAATAGTTATGGACTTAGACACTAATCCAACAGTCTCCCACTTGGATAAGTCTAATAACTATTCTGCGTATGACTTCAGAACCTGATCAGCAATCGTAGCTTCCAAAAGCCGCTGTCAACTCTGATCTTATCAGATACGCGTGTCCTTTAGATAAGGGATCATATATTCCTCCATTCTACAAGATATCGTATAGATACGAGACATGGATTGAAATCATTCTCTCAGTCTATGTGTCGTTTCCCGATTTCCGATTTATGACGACTGACTAATTGAACAAATCAAATCAGTCCTGGCGCGGCCGAGCACTTTCCTTTGTCATCACTAAATCATCGAGGGGCCCACAGATATCGCTTTTATCCCACCTTGGGTAAAAGGAATGGATAAACTTTGACTCAAATGCTTGCTTGCACCTACTAATCGAATCACACACAACAATAAGTTTTATGACACCAAGTTACTGGTGTGTTTACTTATCATCAATGTGCAACCTGCCAGCAAATAACAACTCACACGTCTCGGTTTCAAGAATATACAATGTTATCGTCTCACCAATCACCCGTGATAAAACCATGAAGTGATTCAAGTGAGCGTGGGTTTAATCCAATACTTTAATCTTATCAAAGCACTCATGAACTCTGAAGCAAACTTGTGCTATGTCTAAACACTTTAGACAATCTACAGACATATTCATGACAGTCTTCCTTCATACTTACTCCCAACGTATGACCGACTGTGGAGGTTTGAATAACCTAGTTATTCTGGAAGTCAAAACATGCAAAGTGAAACGCAATAATAATATTAATCCTATGTGGTCCCAAAACTTTTGAGCGTAAATAAAACAATTTTATTTAAACACCATATTGATTACTCATTATTCATTGCTTACTGTTTCAGAAAATCAACTTATAACTCGAATTATAACCACAATTGTCCCATGCTCCAAGCATACACACTTTGGTTTCCTATGGTCCATACTTTGTGAAATAGATCAATTGAAAACTTTTCCAATGAAACTCATTTCACAATCCCCAATCCTTATTATTAGTATAAGAATACCAAATTCTTCCCACTTTTAGAATATGTCATATTCTAACATTTTATGCAATGATTCTTTCGTAATGTCATAGCACAAAAGTCACCAAGACCCGGCTAATGAAATTACAAGGTATTCTATCGGAAATTGTTACAAGACAATTCCATAGACGTGAAGTCTCACATTCAAAGTACATTCCTTTGAACATCCTTCTAGCATAAAAGTTTCTAATCTAGACATATTTGTTAATATCCAACTCCCATTAATGGAAACATTTCCATATTTGCCATATGACAACTCATTCTTAATAGAATCTTATCTATTCATAATAATGTCAATATAGTCCATCCAGTACTATACTTCCAACTACTCACAAGCGACAAATCCTCAGTGAACCTCAGATCGTCCTTTGATAGTTGTTTAATTATTTTAGTCAAAACCGACTCTAGTCCTTTTTCCCTCTTAATGCCCTAGGCATTTGGAAAATTTTAGAATGGTCAAATATTATAGCATATGCAATCGATCCTATACCCGAAGCGTATTGGACACGATGCATAATGTCTCACATAAAGACGTGATACTTTATCAGCCTTCTGCCATAATATTTTATGTGCCCTGTTCCCACAATTCGAACTATGAAGAGGGATGCCGTAATCATAATCGAATTTTGAGAATGCACTATGTATCCTTGACTAATTTATTAATGTTTCTCGATCTAAGCTTTAGAATTTTGAAACGAAGTATAATATTCTCTCCCTTAATTATAGCAAAACAACTTTTCAACCCTTGCAACTTTGCAAAGTGAATCTTTGTTTTCTATAATTAATATTGCTAACTTGCAATACTTACCATAATAATCATGCTCCCACTAACATGATGATTATTTTCTTACCAGCATAACACTTATGCTCCCACTAGCTTTGACATGTATTCAGAAAACAATTGAACTTCTAGAAAACAATGCTTATTGAATTCCTTAAGTTCATATTTCTAATACCTAATGCTTTGATAAGCCTTTATCTAAGCTTTTTAAGCTCATACACCTTTGCCTTAGATAGCTCACATGTGTTTCTAAACAATTCAGAATTTATGTTACTAAGTCCCAAATGTTCAGATCAATTGCCAAATCTCACAATTCGAACTATGAAAAGGGATGCCGTAATCATAATCTAATTTGAGAATACAATTTTCACAATTGCTATCTTCTTAAAATCTCTCTTAGTGAAAGCATTTCCTCACAATCATTTTCATGAAGGAGGAAAACCTTATGACACTTAGATTTTATGATGTATGTGTTCCTATCCATGTGAATTTGTCAAAACGAAAGTTTGCGACAAATCCAAAACCATATGGACTGAACTTGTTCAATCTTGATTTCTTGCCTCATGGTAACACGAGTGCCCACCATGTCTTCCAAGTGGTTTAGCAACTCACCCTTACATATCAATGTACTTTCCATTGATCAAGGTGCTTTGTCTTTATGCATTCAAATGAGAACTCATAGAACTCACATACATATTTAGCTTAATTGGAATGGCACAGAAACAAATAATGTCAACACGATAGGTTATAAACCTCAAGTCGTGCGCTAATGATGATTAACTAGGTTTACTTTTGATCTGTTCTTGAAACTTTTCAAGACCATTAAGACTCCCACTGACTCCTTGACATATAGGGTTCTCTTGTCAAGAAACATTCCTTGACACAACAAATATTCAAGAGTTAGTGTAGTTTTTATCAAGACTATCACTTCACATAATTGGTTCTAGTTGGTCTTTGTCTTATCCAAGACATCACAACTTACCAATCTCAAATGTGCACGAATAAGAAGACTTTTTCCAATTCCACATTTGTTGAGTGTTATAAACCTACTAGATACTTGTCACTCAATTCACAATCTTGGAATATAACTCTAAGACTTGATATTGGAACGAAGTATGATTGACTTCTCGATTTTAACCATTTCCACAATTCTCGATTCCTCTTCTTAGACATACAAATGCACTAAGACTCACTTAGAGGATCAATTGAGATATGGTTCTTAATCATTAAGACTTATCATAAAACACAATAAAAGGTACTCTCCCTTCTTAGAGAAACTTTTATCTTTCTGCCTACTTGATTCTTCTTATTCGTTCTGCTATTGATTGAAACTCTTTCAATCAACTCAGAATTATACTTAATCTTATAAGTATAACCATATTTACTAAACTTTAGTAAATCATGACGAATATCTTTATCACTCTTGTGGTGGACTTGATCAACGTACAACCTAGTGTACTCGATCTCCTAGTCCTTCTCTTAACACTTTGTCAAAGAATTAGTCTAATTTCCAAATATGAAGTTTCTCATTCATCACACAACCAAGTTCCATGACTCCAAGTTTCTGTCCAACTGAAACTTGGGCGATGAGAATCTTCCCTTATTTGAAAAATTCTCGACATTTCCACAAATAACCTAATTAAGAATCAAATCCATTATAGAAACAATTAAACATTTTTTTTTCATACCCACCATTGCAAGGATAAATAAATAAGACAAAATCAAAATTTATTTGATTGCGGAAAAACTTGTCCTTACAATGTAATTCAACTGAAAAACTATGCTATTACATATTTCTTATCAATCTATCCTAACTCTAGAGAAGCAACTCAAAAATCTGATCCTCGAGTCCATGCTATCGAAATCCATTTCTTCATGATCAGATT